ATTTTCTAATACGTATACCTCCCTTTTCACTTCAATTTGAAGGAGCCACGCGCTACGTCCGCACCGCTTGCCAACTCAACTGCAACTGCGATTAAAGGATGCAATAATTGAAAGACTGGATAGCACAAGAAACAACTTTGTTGAGAACAGGTCACATTTTGAACAAAGATTGTAGGATCAGTATTCACAGAGGGCTGCATCAATTAATTTCATGAAACTAAGAGAATAATTATTGAAAGTTTATAAATATTTATCAAACCCAGTGAATATTACATTTGGGACATAAAGTACTGAATGTGTAGCACTTTTTTGCAGCATGCAGATGTTTAAAAGAGACATGCTTATGATTATGGGATGAAATAATTGAACCCATCTTGGTGAACTTATATTTACTAATCAAAAAATTCATGTTGTTCATGATGACTTAAATTATTTCATCTCCTAATTTCAAAAAAATGTTTTGACGACAAAGTGTTTAGTAAGGTTCTTGTTGGGATTGGCTAATACAAACAATACATCCCTCAGCAATTCACTAAAATTAAACTTTCTATGAAAACAAAGTTTTTTTCCGCAATTAAAAAAAATAGTGTAGTGCATAAAATAGGAGAACAGAAATTGTCTGATCTGATTTCAGAAAGTAACATTTTATATAATTATCACTAATTTTATTTTGTTATATCAGCATGTTACAAAACAGTATTACATTCGGGACATAAAGGGCTGAATGTGTACGTTTCACTGGGTTGCATTTACCATTTATAACTTTTCATTAATTATTCTCTTAGTTTCATGAAATTAATTGCTGCCGCTCTCTATGAATCTCGGTCCTACATTCTTTGTTCAAAATGTGACCTGTCCTCAAGAACGTTGTTTCTTGTGCTATCCAGTCTTTTGAATGACATGGAAGTTCAGACAAGCTCTTACATAATTTTTGTAGAGCAATTGTAAGAAGTCTGGTATTTATCGATGTAGTGTTGGTGGCGGTTACTCGTCTGGAAATAAGCGGGTCAATGTCTTTCTAAGCTTTATATTCGGCTGATCTCGATTTCCAAACCAGTGTGTTGAAGACGTATCTCTGCCTATGTTCATCATGTAGCTAGGAGAACTCGTGGATGATACGGTTTGGTTCAGTGTTGGTCGGGCACATTACTGTAGAGATCAATTTTTCTCCCCCTCTCCTTGAGGAAGTTACGCATAAAATAACTACTCCAATCGATGGAACTGGCATCTACGCTCGTTGCTGCCATTGATCCTCTTCGCAGGTTTCAGGTCGCATATTTTAACCCTTTTGTTCACGCACAATTGGAGCTTTTAGTTTCAACGTGTAAGTTTCAAAGTACTCATTCGTAATTTTGTTTGAAACGAATATATGTGTATGAAATTCAAATTTAGATTTTATTTTGTTTGTTTTGTGAATGATATTGATGCTTGGTTTGAAGATCGTTTCTATGATATTCAATACATGGATGCATTGACAATTATAATAATACAAATAAACAATTGGGAACTTTGATTTTTGTAAATTAAGGGTTTCTAATTTTCAAACAAAAAAGTTTATTTTATTGATGTTAAAACTCGTAAACAGCTTTGAAAGCGTTCTCATGTGTCTTCTCCAGCAAAATTGTTTATAAAAATTTTGCAGATATTGGTCAGAAACGCATATTGCTAGAAAAAAATGAAAACAAATATTTTTTCTGGGTACACAATAAATGTATCAAAAAGTGTGTGTTCAATTGAACTACACTTGTTGACAAACATTGTTAAGCACGTAATTGTATTATTACAGCGTCAGTAAATCTGCTTCTAAACATAAACCGGGAATGAAAAGGAGAAATGGTGCATTGTGTGACATTGTCACTGTAGCGGCAGTGTCATTCATTGGATGGAACACTGAGATAAGTCGAAAAAAATTGGGTCATAAGTTATTTTATTGTATCTTCTTATTAAATTGTATTATTAAATTCTATTATTATCACACAAATAATTTTTACGAAGCTTACACTATAATCTGTAGATAATTATGCGTGTTAATTGAAGCGTCAGTTAATATTTAAAACATACGAGAATTCGTCTCAAAAGTTCATTTTTGAGTCATGCCAGTGTAGCAGTTCGTGGACGTTATGGAATTTTCTGCCCTGGCGCCACCCTCATGGGTCATGCATATCTCGTCCGGGCGCGCGTATCGCAGTTGTATTCCAGTCTTACTACGCTCCCACGCGAAAGCCTGAAAACCCAGCGCAGCGTTCGTTGTAGTGAAGCTCGAGACCTCTGCGCCATTAAAAACCAGACCCCCCACCCGCCCACGTTCATCTCGCTGGGCGCC